ACCAAAACTCCATTTCCATGGAGCACACTTTGGCTTCAATTTCCCATTCACTCGGTAATGGTTTTGAGCAACCAAATATACCACGTGAATCACAACGCGGCATAGAACGCGTTACCACTTTGACCCGAGTAAATCCAATTTATTAGTTGCGACAAATAAATAATTTTTTTTCGTAAAAAATGACAATTGCCGACCAAGAGTTTTGGTCGCAAAAAATACATCTATTGCCGACCAAAACAGTTCTTGGTCGTGGAATCTCACTTTTGCCGACCAAAAGTTTTGGTTGCGAAAAGTAGCAAATGGTGACCAAATTTTTTGGTCGTAGAAAAAATATATTTAGCGACGAAGAAGTTTTGGTCGTGGAATGTAATTTTTGCCGACCAATTTTGTTGGTCGTTGAAAATAATTTTTGCCGACCAAATTAGCGACTAACATGTATGGTCATTGAATGTAATTTTTGCCGACCAAAGTCTTTTCGCGACTAAATAGGTTAGTCGCAATAATTATATGTTTAGCGACCAACAATTTAGTCGCCAAATAGAATGTTTTGCCGACTAAATCTTTTTAGTCGCTAATTACTTTCCGCGACCCTCAATTGCCGACCAACTTGGCGACCAAAAAAATTGGTCGGGAATATGTTTTGCCGACCAAAAATTAGACTTTTGCCGACCAATTTTTTGGTCGGCAAATGTGTTAATTCTTGTAGTGACTGATGGTGCATCTAAGGGTAACCTTGGAAAAGTCTCGGCTGGGGGCTTGATTGGAGATCACTTGGGCCATTGGATTGTGAGCTTTAGCAGAAACATCCGCCACACTTCCAGCGTGGTTGCAGAGTTCTGGGCACTAAGGGATGGTTTAAAATTAGCATTGGATCATCGCTTCGAGAATTTGAACATTAAAACAGACTCCTTCATCATCAAGCAACTCACTATGGGTGGTTCTTGTGAAAACCATCAACTGAACAATTTTGTTGTGAATTGCAGATACCTCATGAGCCAACTCCAAGCAACGAATATTAACCTTATCTATCTCGATGCTATTAATAATTTTTTTTTGTATATTTTTCATAATATACATCACCTTTATATATATATTTTTTTATATCTTTTTATAATAAGTAAAAATCTTCAAAAAAAAAAAAAAACCCCAAAACGACGTTGTTTTGGGGGCGACAGGGGAGTGCGATAGGGGAAGGCGACCGACGATCCTTGTCCTTTTAAACCAATATGTGACTGATTCTTATAATAATTTTTTCTCGTTGTCGAGAGTAATGAAGGCCAGCTTATATATATACACGTGTCATACTGAACGGCCTGGCTGAGTCAATTTCTATAACAACATTCCGGTACCCCTGTTAGGCCGAGTCCAATTTGTAATAAATATTAGATGTTGTTATTGTTGTGTTTAGGTTATTTAAGTCAAAAAAAAAAAATTAGATGCATTTTAAAATATTATGATGTGATAATTTATTAAAATATATCATCTCATATATTTTAAAATTATTAGTCTATTATATCTTTTACGCATCACTTGGTTCGAAAAGTGGGTCTAAAAAATAGGAGGAAAATTCTCTCCAGTCTAAAATTTAGATTGGAGAGGGGATGTTTGGGACCGTGAGCTCGCTATGTGTCCCGTTTCAATGATCTGAATCGTTCATATTATCGGACACTTTTTGTATTTCATTCACATAAAAAATTAAGTCGATCAAATAACTATAAATTGTTCAATTTATTTCTTTTATCATCAAAAAAGTTAATGATTTATTTTTTAAAAACACAATTGTCTCCCATGTTTTTAGTAAAAAACTGTGTAAAATGAACAAGTTACAGTTATTGGATTGATCTAATTTTTTGTGTGAATGAAATATACGAAGTGCCCAACAAAAAAATCTTTGGAGAGTTTTTACTTAATTTTTTTAATCATTGAAACGGGTCCTTGGTAGGCCCGACAGGCCCAAACAGTCCTTTAGACTAGAGGGAATCCTAAAAAATATAAGCTTCTATATAATTTTCCTTGTGGTCTAATAATTAAAAAAATTAAGTAGAAAATTTTGGGAGACTTCCTAATAGGTGGACTTATTGTCTAATAGGTCTTATGATAATTAATTACGTTTTCATCAAACATTATTTTAAAAAGTCATTAATTGTTAGTTTTCAACAACAATTTAAAATTTTTGTCACAAAAAATGTTACTAATTATAAGTTTTAGCAACAATTTAAAATCATCACAAAAAAAGTAACTAGTTTTCAACTTTCAGGGACAATTTGAGAAGTTCGTCATAGAAAAACGTCACTAATTGTAAATTTAAGCAACAATTTATAAAAACTGTAATAAAAAAAGTCACTAATTGTCAATTTTTAGTGGCGCGTAAAAATTATTATAAAAATTAATTTTTAACGACGATTTTATTAAGATTTATTTTTAATAAAATTTGATGAAAATTAAATCTAACTATTAATAGTTCACCCTAAAATCTTTTGCTTATAATGCATAGTTTACGAGTAGTTCAATTCGAACATATATACTTATTTTGGGGTGTTTTGTTGCGTGAACTTGTGAAAGTGTCATGTATATCAAGTGTTCTCACGTTGTCAATATAAACAAAATATATCGAAAAAAACAAAAACAAAAAATTAAACAAAATATTATTGGGTCTACGAGCTTCAAAGGACAAGTTTAAAGTAGTTGTGTACAAGCTTAAAACTGATAAATACATTTGCAAGGTTAAACACTATCGTAAGAAACTTCTAATCTAAAATTGCCTTTTCTCTAATCTTTTCTCACCCTTCTATACAAATCACTAACAAGAGGAAGTAATATTTTCTTGTTATCTACAAATTTGTTACACGTACAAAAGTTTCTACACTATAAAAGCTATGTTTGGATTTAGAATTCATGTTTAGGGAAAAGAAAAATGTGATGCATGTATTCTCCATTCTCCTCGTCTTTTCTCTTTCCTCTATAAATTTTTACTTGAGTTCTAAATCCAAATATAGTTTAAAAATTTTCTTTGTGGAAATGGAAGCGAGTGGATGAGTTTAGGCTAAATTCCTGACAAAGCTTCTTTAGCGGTTTTGTAAGCATAGGGCTTCCACAATAAAAAACACCTGCAACACACCATGCGATCATTAATCAAATCAGATATCTAGACCATAGGTAAATTACACATTGTATCATTACACTTTATATTACACCTCACTTTAATATCTTATTTTTTAATTGTAACAGTTAATCTCTTATACTTTTTGACCAAGTTATAATGGGATAAATTGACTAATAGAAAAGTGTCACGTGATTATCACATGGTTATAAACATTTTTTTTTATTATTTCTTATGTATTTTTTTGCATTTTTTTTTTTTTGTCTTTGTATTGTAAACATATCAGACAAGGAGTGATAAGTAGTGGTGATTAGAAAATACTGTGAAAAAAATATTTTATTAGTATAAAAAGGAAGAATACTACAATTTTATTCAAAAATATTTTATGGAAGAGTCATGTGACAATTTTCGTTAGTCAATATAACACTAAACAAACAAAAAAGACACATTGTAATCTGATTAAAAATGCAAAGATGCACTAATACAATTAAAAAATATCAAAATAAAAAGAGATTCGATATAAAGTGCATGAATTCAAAATGAATATACCCTTTAAATTGCTCACCGATTCGAGAAGATTTGTGCGTGTTTGCCAAATCAGTGAACACTTTTTTCCAGTTGGGTCTTGCAAAATGTGTTCTTATCTGTTGAGCAACGTGTTAGAATATACACTAAAATAATGACTACATTAAATTTTTAGAAAAATTATGTAAATAATCCTTGTATTTTACATGATGTGTCAATTTAGTGCATGTAATTTCAATTTGTTCGATTTTGTCCCTTAATTTAACAGATTGTGTCATTTTAGTCCAATAAATAACGGTTATTAAGTTAATTTAACGGAAAGTCAAATAATGTGTTAATTTGATCCCTGTGTTTTCCACAATATATCAATTTACTCCTTGTCAAAATCGAGAAAATTGAAACTACAGGGATCAAAATGACACATCGTGTAAAGTACATGCCCAATTTGACACATTATTTGACATTTCGTTAAATTAATTTAACAAATGTTATTTATTGAATTAAAATAACACAATCTGTTAAATTAATGGACAAAATCGAACAAATTGAAACTACAGGGACCAAATTGACAGATCGTATAAACTACTGAGACTATTTGAATAATTTATCCTAATTTTTTTTTAAATTTAATTTGTACAAAAATTAATCATATAATTGGATAATTTTGTTAAAAGTGTGTGGGATTCACCTCATATAAAAAGAGTTGTATCTGATTCTCTATTTTTATTCATAAACTTTTTTTCTACAATTGGATGATTTAGTGGAATGTGCAACATTAGTGAATACCCTACTTTCTAGTGCATGTTGTAATAATTTAAACCAATTAACACACCTCTATGATAAAAGCATGGGACCATCTCATGTGAGAGAATTGTGTCTAATTTTGTGATAAATTTATATTTTCGTAGAGTTTTTATACAATAGAATGATTTAGCAGCTTGTGTAGCATTAGTGAATACCAACTTTCTATTATGTGTTCCAACATTTACACCAACCACAAAATTAGACATAACTTTCTGACAATAGTGTAGAACCCACTTCATATATGAGAATTGTATCTCATGATTAGGAATGATAATGGGGGTTAATAGGGTGGATATTAATTCTCCATCTCTATTCTTTTATAATTATTTTTTCTCATTCTTCATTCTCCATTCCCCATGGGTACTACCCTCCCCATCTCCTAATGGGTTTGGATATTCCCCAATGCAACTTGACCCCTTTTTTTTTCTTCTTCTTTTTTTTAAGGTTCACAACATTTTTTTTTTTTTTTTTTAAAGATTCACAACCAAAGTTAAATATACATTCAATCTTATTTTATTTAAATTGGCTCAACAACAAAATCAAATGCACATTAATTAACATTGTCACATTATTCTTGTCAAATTTTATGTATATCTAGAATTTTTAAAATTTATTTAGAAAAATTTTATTCCTACAAAAAAACGGTATTGCTACGTAACTCGAAACCCGTGGCTCGAGTTTAGCTCGACACCAAAACGACGTCATTTTGGTGTCGATTTTTTTTTTCTTTTTTTCTTTTTTCCGTGTTTTTGTTGCAGAATGAAGAAGAAGAAGAAGAAAAAGAAGAAGAAGAAGAAGGGAGAAGAAGGGAAGGGAGGAGGAGGAAGGAGGAGAGAGGAGGGGGCTATAAAAATCGGCTGGAGGAGGCGGGGCTGCGACTGCAACTGCGACGATCGGTGAGGCGGTGGTGCGACAATCGGCGAGGCGACGGTCTCAAGCTGCAACGATCGGCGGCGAGGCGACGGCGGTGGTACTGCGCGACGATCTCCTCCCTCCCTTCTTCCTCTCCCTCCCTTCTCTTTCTCCTCTCCCTCTTTCGAGCCAATTCGAGCCCTTGGTGTCGAGCTGCGGCTTATTTCCGCAAAAAAAATTCCATCTTCTTTTTTAATTTTTTAAAATTTTTTAAATTTTATGTATTTCATTCTCCTCTCTATTAATTGATTTTCGATAATCTGATGGTGAGTTATTGCTTTCGTTTCCATCTTCTTCTTCTTCTTCTTCTTCTTCTTCTTCTTCTTATTTTTTTTTTTAAATTTTTATTTGCATTTATAGAATGAATTTTCTTGTTTCAATATCTCCTGCAATTATTTTATTGGATTTCTCTCTGATTTGATGATAACCTTAGATTAAAATTTTCAATTTTCATTTTAACTAGTGATCACCTTAATTGAAATTTTGTACATTTTTGTCTTCAATTTCCATTGCGCGTTTTTTATTGATAGTCACAATCTTGTCACCTCTAAATTGTCGTCATCGCAAATTGCCGTTGCTATAGTGAGAGGATAAGAGAGAGTGAGAATTGGAACTCTAATTGTCAACAGAGTAGGGATGACAATGGATAACTTACCATGTGGGTATCCATGGAGATCCAACCCAAATACTTGGGTTTCCCATTTTTTCTTGTCTGTCGGGTAGAGTAAGTGATGTTCTTTAAATCTTAATCGGGTATGGGTCGAGGATGGGTACCCACTAATTTCCCTATATATATATATATATTTTAGGAACATCGGAAAATAATTTCTCTGTATGTTTTCACTACTCTGTTGACAATTAGAATTCTAATTCTCACTCTCTCTCATCCTCTCACTGCAGCAACGGCGATTTGCGATGACGACAATCTAGCGGTGACAAGATTGTGACTATCGATCAAAATTGCGCAATTAATCATAACCAAAACATGGAAATTAAAGACAAAAATATACAAAATTTCAATTAAGGTGATCGCTAGTTAAGATGAAAATTGAAAAATTTAATCTAAGATTACCATCAAATCAGAGAAAAATCCAATAAAACAATTGTAGGAGATATTGAAACAAGAAAATTTACTCTATAAATGCAAATAAAAAATTTTAAAAAAATAAAAAGAAGAAGAAGAAGATGGAAACGAGAGCAATAACTCACCTTCAGATTATTGAAGATCAATTAATAGAGAGGAGAAGGAGATACATAAAATTAAAAAAAAATTAAAAAGAAGATTGAATTTTTTTGTAGGAATAGAATTTTTCTAAATAAATTTGAAAAATTCTAGATATACATAAAATAATGTGACAATGTTAATTAATGTGTATTTGATTTTGTTGTTGAGCCAAATAAAATAAAATAAGATTGAATGTATATTTAGCTTTGGTTGTAAATCTTAAAAAAAATTAAAAAATAAATAATAAATAAATAAAAATTGGTTGTGAACCTTAAAAAAACAAAATTTAAAAAAAAAAGAAAAGAAAATATATTGAATGTATATTTAGCTTTGGTTGTGAATTTAAAAAAAAAAAAATGGTTGTGAACCTTAAAAAAACAAAAAAAAAATTTTAAAAAAGAAAAGAAAAAAGATTGAATGTATATTTAGCTTTGGTTGTGAATCTTTAAAAAAAAAAAATGGAAAAATTAAAGGGTATCCATCCCAATCCATCCCATGTGGAGATTTAAAGAATATCACTTACCCTACCCGACGGATAAGAAAAAAGGGAAAAACCATGGATACCCCATAGGGTAGGTTATCCATTGCCATCCCTACTCATGATTAGTTTTGTATTCTTAAATTTTTTCTTACAATTGAACAATTTAGTGGATTGTGTGGCGTTAGTGAATACCCGACTCTCAGAGACGACATCGACACCATTCTTAGCATGCTGCAAAGATTGAACCATGGCAATAAGTGCAGATCGAGCATCTCCTTCTTCATACACACTAGTCAAGTAGTTGTGCATTTCTATCATATGCTGCAATATTTAAACAATCACAAAAAAAATACCAATCAATCAATTTGATTTAATTATCTTAGTATGAATGGGAAGGGAATAAAATAAAAAAATAATAATAATAAAAAAAAAGAGTGAATTAAGTTGAGTTGTGTTGATGTTAGGATGAAACCCACATTGTGGTCATACTCTGCAATATCATCCATGACACCTTTGAACCAATCAAAGGAGCCCTGTTCCCTCGTCACCCAATAGAAATAGGCTCTTTCTGGACCTTTCTTATCCCCATCAAACAATTGTCCATCTTCCATGACCTGCATTAGTTTCAAATCCCACTAATTTAAGTTACTAATAAAAAAATTAAAATATTCATTCCTTTTAATAATTAATTTATTTCAACTATTTCTATTTTACAAGTTGTAGACAGAAACTGATCAAAGAATGTTGATAAAAAAAAGAAAAAAAGAGCTACATATAAAAAGGCTTAGATCAATTGCTTCTTAACTCACCATTGGAGAATCACTTGGCTTGATGTGGTTTAAAAGATCTTTAAGAATGCTGATCATTGGGGTGGCTCCAATTCCTAAGCCAATGAGTAAAAGGATGTCATACTTCCTGTAGTTCTGAGCTGGTGCTCCATAAGGTCCTTTTATCACAATCCTTGGAAAGCTGCCTCACCAAACAAGAGCTATTAGACATGATGCTAAGCCTGAGTTTTTTTCTTTTCTTTTTACAATTTTTTTTCTTGTTTTTAATGAATTTTAAAAATTTTATTAGACAAGATGAACGTAAAAAGTTAAAAAATAAATTTCTTAAAAGAACTTCACTTTAAAAAAAAAATTTAAGTTTACTGTTTTGTCTTTTATTGTTTTATCCTTAGTGATTTTATTTTTTGTGAATTTTTTTTAAAGTAAAAAAATTGGAATAATTTTTTTTTTTGCCAAACGGAAATCTCTGCAATAATACAATGCAAAATCACCTCGGTGCTGGTTGCAAATGGTCGTAGTCTGAAACTGCCTTAGTTTCCATTCTAACCAGACTTCCCCTTCTTGGTTGTGGTGAAGGTTGACAAACCTGCATTTTTATGCTTCAGAATTCAAGATAGAAAAGGGAGTAGAAAATATTTCAAAAAGGAGAAAAAAAAGATTTTTTTAGAAATGATTATGGTTCTGGAAAAATATGAATTGAATCTTGCATTCATGAATTTCATTTTATGTTAGCTTCATCATGATTCATGATCCTCAATGTCATGCTAGCTACATAGTCGAATTCAAATCCTTTCAAAAAAAATGAGCTCAAATATGTTTGGTTTGATTTAAAAAAATTATTTTTGACTTATTGCTTTGTTTTGTTTTTTGTTTTTTATTTTTTAGTAATTTTCAGTTATTTTTTTAAAGATGAACTTAATCTAGATTAATTTAAAAAGTAAGAAAAATAATAATAAATAAATCAATTCTAAAGACAAAAAGAAAAAAAAAAAAAAAAAAGGCCAGCAATTTTTTGTGTTTGTTTTTCATGATTTTTTTTTTCTTCAAATTTCTTCACATATATTTATACTTTTATGCAATCAAATTTGGTGCATTTAAAAACTGAAAAAAAAAAATAAAATTGACTAATATATGAAATAAATTTACTAAAGACAAAAAATATGCAAAAACAAGAACTCAAAAAACAAACCAAACAACGTATTGTGTTCAAAGGCATTGTAAAAATAATAAATGAAAATCACCTGTGCAAATCGGTTTTTAAGCTCTCCAGTCCAATCCCCCAAAGCTCGAATGTGGACGCTTAAGTAGTCATCTCCTGGTGCAGATGTGATCGAGAAAGGATGCCTGTAATAATTTTTATTGTAGTTTTAGGCCGTATACAATAATATTTTGAACATTTACCATAATTAAAAATAAATAAAAAATTACCATTCGAAACTTGCTATGTCTGGACACTTAACAAAGACGTACATTCCACTTTTGTATTTGAATCCTGAAGGTTTGCTCATGTATAGGGCTAGAACATTTCCTGTGTATACTATAGCCTGCATTGTTCATAGTATATATGCAGAGTTTGAGTTATTTCTACAATTTTAAAGGCAAAAATAACAAAAATAAAAAAATAAGAACCTTGATGATGTTGACACGATAATTGTGTTCGTGAACTTCTGTAAGAATTCTCTCACTTGCATAGAGAATTATTGGGAACATGACATACATCCATGTCTGCATAGCAAAATAATTGTTCTCACCACAGTTTGATTTTGTAGAGTTCAAATCATATAAGCGTTAGAATTTGGAATTGGTGATCAAAATTTGGGAAAAATTTCAAGAAATCATTGTTGGAAACTTTATGTGAAGGGTTGGGATTCCTTATATTCAATCGAAAAAAAGTATTCTAAGCAGACATACATACCGTCTTCTTGTACCACTCGCTAGTGAGAAATAGGTAGTACCCATGGATGATCAAGAGGGCATACACAATCACCAGCAAATGATGTGCATACCAGAAAGAATTAAACCCTGCTAAATGGTGAAAAGGCCATGGCAATTTGATGACATTCCTCCTAAACGAATGTGTCGCTAGCGTAAAAGTGAAAGCCATTAGAACGATCATCAAAATGCCTGTTACACCTGGAATACTTTGAACAAGATCTGCGTAACTGGGCTGCTTGTAATTGAAACCCAGTCCAAGAATTGCAATGAATTTATCATGCGGGCAAGATATTAGTCTTGGGAAATCGCATGTCACGTGCATTAGCGTGTGAATGGAAGTCCCTATCGCGATTGCAAGAGCAATTATCTTGTGGAAGTTTATGTTGTCGTCGAAAGGGACTAATGAACCTAGAAATGTTTCTCTGAGCTTCGTGAGAGTTCTTCTACATACGGGAAAGAGAATGAGAGCCATGTTGAATTTGAGAGTCTCCGCAGCACCTTTGGCGAAACATACACAATAACCCATGACTTGGAAAGCCCCTCTTTGTTTATATTGGTAAAACTTCCAACCAAAGAGGATTAAGTTTATAGTTAACCACCATGTGAGAACCATTACTTTCTTCCAATTCTCATGGATCTTTTCCTTGGCTTTAGATAGGAATTTGCTAACTGGGGTTCTATATTGTTTGGGAATCATGGTTTTTGCCAGTGTACATGTATTCTTGGCTACTTTGGTGTTGCTTTCCTCAGAATTCACCATTCCTCTTAGTAGAGTTTCAAGTTGCCACATCTATTCAAAATGGGGGAAAAAAAGTGACAAAATAATAGAAAGAAAATAAGTGTTAAGGATACTGGACATGTTTGATACAATTTTTCTCTACCTAAAAGTAGATAATCAAAAAACAGAAATTAAAAACATATTTCAAAAAAGATGATGAAGAAGAGCATTGACTATGAACTCACCTCAATATATCCTAAGTTGTCCGGATCAAGCTCCTCCATGATTAAAGCTGCATAAGTCGAGGCGTGTTGCTTAAGATTTGACAATTTATTTGCAGAGGCACTCATCACTATTACCTTTTCAATAATAAGTTACGCAGAGTTACACTTTTAAATATCCAAAGATGATGAAAAATATGAAAGATGAGGATTTACAAGGTTAGTTAACTTACCTCTCTAACCTCCTCCTCAGATAGTTGCCCATCACCATTCTTGTCACACCTACAAAATTACCATATTTCACTTAGTTTTGCTAGCATTAGTTCGTTTGATAGAGAAAGAGAGAATGGAAAGAGAAATAGAGAGAATGAAAAAGGTTGGTACTAATTTAAAAATTAAGAACTAACTTCCGCCTATCAAAGAGAGAAAGAGAGAGTTCCTTACATGTCGAAGAATATCTGAAGTCGCGCATCCAGGTCATGATTTGATATGTCTTCCCAAAACCCTTTCAATTCTCCTAGAGTTACCCCATTTGCTCCATTGATCTTCCTACGCCTCGCCAATGTATCAAACAACTCCCCCGCAAATTCCTTGCTATCACCCATCCCTTTCAAACAAAACAACACGAAAAGAAAAAGTTCTAAAGTTTCCCTTCAAATATTCAAAAGATCAAGAAAAGGCACATTGATGAAAAATAAAAATTGCATGACATACCGACGCAAGGTCCAAATTTGTCTCTAAAGAGCTTCTCATCAACTGCAAGGTTATTGAAGCGTTTCTCAACAGACCTCCACACATCCCCTTCTTTCCCTGTGGTTGTCCTATCGAGGAACCGCAGGCTTTGAAGCCCTCTTGCAGCCCCCGATGTCATCCTTGCCATCTTGGGGATGAAACCGCCTTGTACTCCATTCCTCTTTCTAAGATTGGTTGCACTCGTCTTGGGAGATTTTTCATTCGGATTTCCTGACATGGTGCTTGGCTGTTTATCTTCTTCAATCGGCACATCCACCATTTTATCAATCTCAATGCTCTCCAGAATCCACCTAACTGACTCCCCTTTATTCAATTCTGCATTTTCCATTGATCTAATGAGAATGATAATGTTCTTTTCTTTCTATCTAGATGAAAATAACAGAAAATTTTGGTTTGCGAGAGAGAGAGAGAGAGAGAGAGCTGAAAAGGTCAAAACTTCAGGGGAAGGGTAATTGGATGTGAAGGTTTAGTTGTCTTAAAATAGGCAGAGAGTTTCAGATGAAACCTTCAAATGATGGGCACTCTTAAAAGAAAAGAAAAAACTTACATTTTATGAATTGTTCCTAATACATATTATCAGATTGCTATATGCCATTCATCTATATTACAATGTCTAAAGGTGGTTAACATCATCATGAATGTTAGTTTACATAAATATTAAATATTGTATCTCTCCATAAATTTTATTTTCAAATTTATGAATTAAGATTTATTCTCTCACTTTGAAAATTTCTATGTAAAGTTTGTGTTTGATTTTCACTACTATAATTGTATAACTTATATGAATAAAATATAAATATCATTATATAAATGTACAATATTGTAAGAGGTTTCTCTCCTATCTTTAATTGGATTGGATTGGAGAGATCCAATTGCAACAATGTGGACTTACTTGACTTATTTTGAAAACTCAAATGGTTCATTTTATAAAAATTTTGGATAGATTATTTATATAAATAATTTACTAAAATAGCGAACTATTGATTGGATAATGTCCCACCTAGATAATACATGAATTGTCTGGCTCTAGAAGATGGGTAAAAGTAAGAAAGAAAGAAATAAACAAACAAACAAACAAACAAAGAGTGAATGAATGAATGATATGGAAATGAACTTTGTTGGCTACCAAACAAAACAAAAAGGTAGAGCATTATTATGAAGTGATTAGAATTGTGCGTGTCTAAATGGGCTGTACCATGATTAGTAGTGAGCACGTTGTGTAGGCTAATTTTATCAACCCCCTTCCTAAAACGTGATGTTCCACTAACGAGGTTGATATTTTAGTATTCATCACCAAAAATATGGTTGACTTTGTTATTTTTTAAAAGTAAATTGTCTATATGTCATAATAATTAAATTTAATTCTCATCAAATTCTATTAAAAATAAGTCTAAATAAAATTATTGAGAATTATATTTAATTATTATGACCTATTGATGAGAATTTGAAATTTTCTTTTTGACTTTTTAACTACTTTTCAAATTTGCCAAAACAACTTTAATGCTGTGTTTAGTTGGAAAATTTGGAGAGAGATTTGAAAATCGAAAGAAAAAAGATGTGTGAAATTAAGTAAAATATAGATATATTTTATTCTTATTTCACTTATCTTTTCTGCTTCTCTTTCTAAATTCTTTCTTAAATATCCCAATCAAACACAACGTAAGACTCAAATATAAATATCACACTTTGGACATTAATAAGACATTATTATAATTTAACGGTCAAAATGTAAAATTTCAAAAATGATGTGGTATTTTTTTTTTTTTTTAATGTGTGTGTTAAAAAATCGTGGAAAAATATGGGGGTCTTGAAAATTTTATTTATTTTTATTTAGTTATTTACTAGTCTTTAAATTAACCATATAACGAAGTGCACAAATATTTTTTCCCTCTAAATTCTAAAGTTAGTTGTTTTCTGTAAATACAGCATAAACTATTACCAGCAATTCAATTGATTGTGTCTCAAAATTACCAACAGGTATCCAATTGATGTTGGATTTATTTTTCTAGTGTAGCCCAATAGCCTACATATTTTCTACATGTTTTAATTTATTTAGACTCTACAAATAGATAAAGCCAATATTTGAGATCAAGTTCAGTAAATAGAATTTTAATATAATCACTCTTCTAAGATAAGAAGAAAACCTTGATGGATTAGAAATTCTTCTGATAGAGTTTATCTGGCCCTCTTCTCTCCTCTATATAAGGATGGGTGACTCCCCTTTCATATCATGAGTATTTTTCCATCACTTTAAGTTTTATAGTCATCCTAATTAAGAGAGACAGAGAGAAGAAGGTGAGCCAAAATTAAAGGTTCAACTCTAAGGGATATTTTCTCAACTTCTCTAATTCAATGGCTGACAAAGGTATATTCGTTTTATTCTTGAGTTGTATTGAATTCAAGATCCTATAAAGTTTAATTCCGCATTATTAGTATTATCATTCAGTTACATGTATTATTAAATCTTACATGTGGTATCAGAGCTTTAGTTTGTGAATCAATACACCTGGCAATAATAATATATTTATAAATATTGTTATTATATTATAATTATAATTATTCATAACAACATATTTTTTGTTCATAAGGTTTGAGACTCTCGGCATGTGTTGGTTATCTTGAATATACGCTGTATGTTCAACCTTGTAAGCCTGCATACCATATTTATTAGGCAGTGTCTGAATGGTACATCTAATCTCTTTCATATTCGTTATGCATCAAAGAAACTCTTTTGTGTTGTTAAAAGTCAAAGGTTGTGTGAAAGAAGATTTCATTCCTGATTTCTAAATCGTAACTAAGTATGCACATCATGGACTCCCTCACTCACTTTGTTTGTGATATGTTCGGTGCAAACTTTTATGTAATTGTATATACTGTTCATGATGCATGTTTTGATTTATTATCAATTTTAGTGATAATAATTTTTATAATCTTCATAATATGTTATTGAATTGGAATGTTATTGCTTGCCGTTATGATAAATTTAGTGACGTGCATAGATTAAAAGCAATTTTAGAATTTTGCTGAATCGTTCGACTATTAAATAAATATATTTATTTAATTGTATCACATTAGAGGATTAGTTTTGCTTTGTTTAAATTATGCACACTTATTGTCTATTATGTTAAATATTTATATATTTGCATGAATAAAATTGAATCATGATATAATTTATGACATTGAATATTAAATATTAAAGTGGTTAATTCAGTATTAGGTGTAATTCTTATTAACCATTATTTTAGATATTCATGATTGTTATAATACATATATAAATATTTCCTGTTCATCCAGAGTTGATTATTATTATATTGGTAATAGCAATCACATAAAAGAAGTTTTAGAAATCATAAATAGTGATCTCATTAAAATTGTGATTGAATTAATGATATTAAATAACTCAAAATAATGAATAGAAAATATTGTTGGTTAGTTCCGGGATCAATTCATAGGTTTACTAATTTAGTAGAGCTGCCAAAGTGGCTCCTAGATTTGTTAAACTTAAGATATAGAACTACATAAAAGAATTTTAAAAAAAGCGGTAAACATTAAGGTCAGATAATATTCTCAATTGCAGTTATAATTAGAGAGATTTGAGACTAGCCAAGGAGAGTCACTTTCAAATAATGATGGAAAACTGGGAGTAGATAATGAACTTATCTAATTTGAAAAGATTAGAATTGCGAATACCCAAAGGTAAGCCATGACTAGCTGAAAAATTGCAGTAAATATACTTCTAGACCTACATAAGTGATTCTTTGACGGAGTGGACAATAGAGTATACCTAAGTTTTGCCGAAAGGAGAAAACTTATGTGATATTCAATTAGTTCAATCATAATTTCTCAAGCTTATTTGTCATATTTTCTATCTCTATTTTCAGTAAAAGTTCCCACCTCATTGCACTCTCTTGCATCGGGCGCCCTCTCTTACTGCTCGAATTTTTTCGGAAATGGTATGAACATGTTCAGTTTAAACACTGGGTGGTGGACCTCGAATATGGCATTGCTTTGAACATAAACCTGCAGACATTAATGAATAAGTACTGCAGAACAAGTTGCCCTTTCTGAATACTGGAGAAAAGTACAATAGACTCAGTTTGAGTTCATCTGAAGATGACATTGCCAATAACATCAAGACCTCCTTACCTCAAACTTGTTAATGTCATTAAGATACTTAAAAGCTGTTAGAGATCGATTAGATCTGCTGACAAGTCACTTGCTGGCACTATTATGGCTGAATTGACAACAATGAAATATGAAATGGCAACCGAGGAGTTCAGGGATCACATGCCTCAATATGGCTGACAAAGCTGCACAAGCTTAAAACTTTATGGAATGCAAGTTGATGAAACTTCCTCGTGCATTTATTTTCACTCACCTCCATCACAATACAGCGCATTCAAATTCACTATAACACAATAAGTAAGTGGAATTTGAATGAGCTGACTAATATGGTGTGTTCGGAGGAAGTGAGGTTGAGGGAGGAAGGACGTAAAACTGCATTGGCTGTACTCATGGAGCTATAAAGAAAAAGAAGGGTAAGTTTGTAAAATCAAAGAAAAATCCAACCAAAGAAAAAGAATGAAACCTGGAAAAATCAGGCTAAGAATGGGTTCACTGTCGTGCTACTTCTTGTGGCAAGAAGGGACATGTGAAGAAAGACTGCAGCAAGCGAAGGCTTGGTTCGAAAAAGAAAGGTAAGAAATTTTTCCTTTGTTTGTTATGGAATCAAATTTGGCTGAAGTAACTTCTAATAGCGTGGTGGGATTGACTCTGGGGCGCACGACCTGTTGGAAATGGTGGAATAAATTCTGGGTAAAACCAGAATTTTTCTCATAGTTTGGTCTATTTTTAGGTAGGCCCCGAGCATCGATTTACTCGGTCGAAAGGGTAACGCGTTCGTATGCGCGTTGTGATTCACGTGGTATACTTTTGGTTGCTCAAAACCATTACCGATGAATGGGAAATTGAAGCCAAAGTGTGGCTCCATGGAAATGGATGTTATGGTGGAAATCTCCTTAAAGTTGTAATTGGCTTGTCCCACATTGATTTGTGGGAAGTTTGAAAGGGTTTATAAGGTCTTAGGGTGAGATACTTGGGGTGGTGCCCCAAGGGGTTACCCAGTGTTTTAGAAGGAGAGGTTATCGGGGCAAATGGCTAGACCCATTGGGACCAAAAATACCACACACGCACGCGCGCCGCCACCGGCGTCATAGCCGGTCGGGCGGTGCTGGGCTTGGCGCGGGTGCGTGGTTGGGTTGGGCTTTCTATCTTTTTGGGCAAAAAAACATTTGGTTTAATTTTATTTTTTATTAAAATAAAATCTAGAATTCAAATTAAACTGGTTTGGATTTATTGTTCATCCCAAACAGAG